TTTTCGGTACAGGATTTGTATTAAAAGTTATAAAGCGATAAAGTTCGGTATTGAAATCGGATAATCGGATAGAATCAGAATTTTACGAAAATTTGAAGGATGTTATAAAATGATTGGAAATATTATTTTAATATTTTAGATCAGAGAAATTTGTCTCAGAACAGTGTAATTTTTCATATTTAACCGAACAGTGGAATTTTAGTGACTAAAATGCAATTTTCAAAAATTGCATAGCCAAAGTGAAAAAATCAACACATTTTTAGCTATTCTTCTTCATTTGGCCGAAACTACAAGTTCTCCCAAGGTAAGATTTTGATTTTGATTTTTGAAGCTATATACTTGATTTTTGAATTTAGCTATTAGATCAAGAATTAATCTACATGAAATTCTCTATCAATTGATATAAATATTTCATGGTGAAGATGATTGTGTGATGAGATTTGATGATTAGGATTTAAGGAGGGCTTAGTGATCTTGAAGAATTGATGAAGGATTTTTATGTTTTTGATGTTAGTGATTATTTTTAAAGCATGTATGATGATTAAAATTAATTGTACATACATATATAAGGTTTAGCTTAATTAGGGTTAGTGGAAGTGTTAGGATTTTGATTCAATTTGATGTTGTGATGATTGGAAATGCATGAATTTAATCATAGGAGGTTGAATTCATGCTTGAAATTGAACAAAAAGTCCCCTTAGGTGACATGAAGCATTCGGCCATAAGGAAGAAATTGGGGGGGGGGGAATGTTGAAAATTTTCCTATGGATTAGAAATGATATTAGAAGTATTATATGTGATTTGGAGATTGATTTGGATCAATTTGGAACATTGAAAGTGAAAAGGTCTAATTTACAAGTTCTTGGAATTGTGGGATATTACTGTAAGAATGCAATATTTGAAGGGTTCAATTTTTATTTTTGATATTTGTAATGTTGGAAATTAAGTTGGAAAGTTGTTTGGAACCAAATTGTAAATTTGGTAAAAATTAGAAGTGGAATTCGAAAGGTCCCAAAACCTTGGGAACTTGTTTGCAAGTTATTAAATGTAGAGGTATTATTCGGGGTAAATTATTGAACGCTGGAAAATTTATTAGTATGCTGAATTTTGAATTAAATATTGAGTTGGGGTTGAATTACAAATTTATAAAGTTAGGTAGTTGAAAGTCGAAAGTTTAGGGAAGTTTGGGTTGAAGTTATAATGTTTTGAATGTTGAAGTATTGAGTTTGGTATTTTATTAAAGTGCTGAAATTTTAGTAATTAATGTGCAATGATCATAATGGTGAAGGACCATTATGAATTAAATGAAAAGGTTGAGGTGAATTCTAAAAAGAATTCATAATTTGTGTCTTACTTGTATAAATCAGCTTATGTTAGTACAATACTAATACGTAGTTCGAACATTTTGTGTTATTATTTGGTATTATCAGACTACGATAAACCTAGCAATCTAAACGATCCGAAAGTAAAGGACAAAACTTGTGACTAGGATTATTATATACAATTTTTGTAGTGAGGCTGTAATACCCCAAATTTTGACCAGTGACTAAAATGTAAAATTTGAAAGTTAATGGCTAAAGTATAGAATTTGAAAAGTATAGAAACCGAAGTTGTACTTTTAAAAGTTATATAGTTTAGCCTGTAAATGAATAGTTTGGATTAAAACATATATTTTAGCGGAATTTTATAAAACAGTAAAGTTTGATATTGAAATACAATATCCGGATCGAATCATAAGTTTATAAAAATCTCAAGGGAGGTATATTGGGGTTGGAAAAATTATAAGGATATTTTTAAATAGTAACAATTTAAATTGGATTTGTGGAATTTGGTGAGAATTGCACGATAAAGTGAGATAGTGCAATTTAGTGGTTAAAATGAAATTTTGGAAAATTTGAGGGTCAAAAGTGACAATTTAGAGATGATATTTGATGACCATTTGATAATATTAAAGTAGAGATAATGGAGTGACATGTGTGTAATTTTTGGAAGTCATTAATGGAAATTTAGTCTTTTGACCCCAAATAAATAAAAAATTAGTTTTAAATTGTTTTTAAAGGCCCAAGTAGGAGATATTTTGTGAGAATTTTCGTGAAACTCCTCTTATCTCCTCCAGCAAGTTGCCGAAACCATAGCCAAGGTGAGCCAATTTGTTTTCTTCCATTTTTGATCAAATTTAGTGAGTTTTTGGACTAAAGGGTGAAATAAGAAAATAATCCCCATTAAATTCTCTACAAGTTGGTATAATTATTTCATTGTTTCATGGCTTAAATTATTAAAGTGGTGATTATGGTGGATGAAGGGAAAATTAGAATTAAATGAAATAAAGTTGAATTAAGATGTTAGGGGTGTTGTGGAGTTATAATTAAGCAAGAAGGTGGAATAAAAAAAATATTATTGGAACGATTGGTTTAGTAATTCGGCCAAGGAATTACATGAAGGAAATGGTGAAGTTGGAATTTTAAGTTTTGCTTTAGTGTCTTGCAGTTTAACATGAGCGCCATTTCATTTGTTTTGATATGTGCGTAAATGTGATATAGTTGTTTTACCATGAAATATGGTTTTTACATGAATAAAAAAATTCTTGATTCGGCCAAACAAGGAAAATTAAAAAAAATATTTCAAAATTTCATATGGTCTATAAATGATATTAGAAGTATTCTATGTGATTTGGGAGTTCATTTGGATCAATTTGGAAGCATAGATAAGAAAAAAGAGCTAGTTTCCAAGTTTTGAGAATTTTGAGACTTTATTGCAAGAATGTAATTTTTGAAAGATTTAATACTGATTTTTGGTACTTGAGATGCTAAAATTTAATTTAGAAAGTTGATTTGAGTTAAATTGCAAAATTTTGGAATTTTTAGGTTGGAATTCGGAAAGCCTTGATAATGGTGGGACTTGGGTGTTAATTTTTAAAGGTAAAAGTACCATTTGGGTGAGTTAGAATAATTCTGGAAATTTTGAAATAATGTGCTGATTTTGGAGTTTAAGTTTTAAGATGGGATTGAATTTCAAGTTTATCAAGTTGTAAGGTTGAAATTGAAAAGCCTAAGAAAGTTTAGGATGAAATTGTAAGCTTTTGAATGTTGAATTATTGATTTGAACTTTTATTTTAGTTGCTGGAAATTTTATATATTTGATGGGAAATAATCATAATAGTGAAGAGCTATTATGAAATTAAAGGAAAAGTTGAGTTGAATTCTAGAAAGAATTTAAAATATGTGGTTAGATTTTATAATTCATAAAAGTTGAAGAATCATGCTGAAAATAATTATTTATGGAATTGAATAAGTATTTTGATAAGTTTGAAGTTATAATGGAGTTATGAGTTTGGTTGTTATCGATTTAGTTATCGATTTTATTATATAGATTTTCAAATGTTAAAACGAGCTTATATTAGTACGATACTAATATGTAGTTTGAACAATTTTTTTTTATAATTTGGTATTGTTAGACTACGTTAAATCTAGCAATCCGAACGATTCGAAAGGAAATGACAAATCTCGTGACGAGGATTATTACATACAAGTTCTGTAGTGAGGCAAAGGTGAGTGCAATTTATTTATTTATTTATTTTTGATCGAGGACGACTTGCGATAAGTCAACCTCATTCAAATTTACAATATGATTTATAAAGTTTATAAAGAATATTTTTATAATATTCTATATCAGTTTATGAATGATTTAGGGTATGAACTGCCCAAACATGATATTTTTTATTATGGATTTAATTATGGTATATGAGCCCATTGCATGTATAATGAGAATTACTGGTACACTTGGCATGCCATTAGTTGAGTATTATCAGCTTTGGTACATTCGTGTATCAATGTTATCATATCAGCTTTGGTACATTCGTGTATCAATGTTATCCTATCAGCTTTGGTACATTCGTGTATCAATGTCCAGCACCATTGGTGCTTATTCAGGTTATGATGGCACTGAAGTGCATTATATCTCAATATCAGTTACGATTTGCACCGTGTTGTGCATAGTGCGCACCTTACTCACGTATCTTATGTTTTTATAAATATGCATTGGGCTATGAAAATGAATATGCAAGTTGTGAATGATTTTCAGTTGACATAAAGCATGATGTGCTTATTTTATTAGATATGATTTATCTGAATTTTCATGAGTTCATGATTTAAAAAGAAATTTCAGGTCTTAGTGAAGAAAACGACTTGGATAAGTTGGTTTTCCAGTTTAATGTTTTAAGTTGAATTATTTTATTTATGTTTATGATATTTTCATATTTTACTCACCCTAGATTATTACTGCCTCACTAAGTTATACTTAGCGCTTGATGATTTTCATGCGTAGGTTCTAATAAGGATAAGTACGATCAGTAAGGAGCTATCGAAGCATCTTTCTGGAAAGACATACATATCATCAGTATCAGTAAGACATATATGATGTTTCTTTTGACTTATAGTGGCATGTATAATTATGTCAATAGTTTCTAATTATCATAGTTATTTTAAATAATTTGTAATAATAAACTAGAACTATTTAGTTTATTTTACTTAGTTTAGTTTTATCAGTATCTATGCATGACAAGAATTTATTACATTATTATGTTTTTTAAAAGATTTTACGAAAAGACATGGTTTAGTAAAATTACTGAATAAATAATGAATTTATTTTCCTGTAATAAAGAAATAAATTATAAGTTGAAATATACTTTAAAATATATTTTTAAAGTTAGAACAAGAGTGTTTTCAAAAGAAACAATTTTTTACAGAAATTTTAGTTCAGTAAATGTTTTCAAGTTGATGTGACATCTTTGACTAATATATTGAGACATATACGGGGTTAAGGGTGTTACATTTATTGGTATCAAAACTACAGATTTAGCCGATTCTCGGCCTAAACCGAGCCTATAATATGTCGGAAATATGTACATGCCACTAGGATGTCGAAATTACTGGTATGGTATGATCTGATGATTTTATTTATGATGTTGCTCCTTACTAACATAAATTTTTGCTTTTGTTTAGATGTCGGGTTCGGAAGGCATAAGACGGGCCACCGAACAAGAGGTTCCTGAGGGAATCGGTAGTGGGAGTAGTAACGAGGTAGAGCACGTACCCCAACGTCAGGGAGAACATGTACCTCAGGAAGTACCCGCTCCAGATCAAAGAACGTCCTTACAAGCTCTAGAGGATATCTTAGCTCGATATCAGCCGGCAACAGCCCCTTCCCTTCCTCCGCCTCCACCTCCTCCTCCACCTCCTCCTCCAGTTCCAAGAATATCGGTTCCGAAAGAATTAAAAAGTTTAGGAGCTGCAGAATTTAAAGGTGAAGCAAATGAAGGCCCAGTAGTGGCAGACATGTGGCTGAATAATGTAAAAATAATGTTGGACAATCTTCATTGTTCGGAGGATGAGAGATTGGGGGAGTAGTTTCATTGTTACGAGGTCAGGCTCGTATATGGTGGACGAACGTGACGACACGTGTTCCTCCAGATCAGATCACATGGTAGTTTTTCTTAGAAGCATTTCAAAAGAAATATATCGGAGAGCAATTTATTACTCAGATGAAGCATGATTTCTTTAATCTGATCCAGGGTGGTAAATCTGTTTACGAATATGAATGTGAGTTTAATAAACTTGCTCGAATTGCCTCAGAGATGGTTCCCACCGAGAGAGAGATATATGTCAGAAATTTATTCGAGGTCTCCGGCCCAGACTTAGAGAACTTTTGTTGGCTGCGAACTTAACCACTTTTCAGGAAGTGGTAAACAAAGCAAAAGATTTGGAAATGGCGCAAAATGAGAATTTTATGATAGAGCGGAGACAACAATCTAAAAGATCAGGAGCATCATTCTCATCTCAATCTAAAAGAGGTCGAGGTTCATGTTATCAACACCAGAGTAAATCCGAAGTTGGTGCACCTAGTCGCAGAGGATCCGAGGCTAAGGAAAAAGGGCGTCAGGTACAGACAATGACTACAAGAGCTGGCAGATCAGCTCAGTCTCAGGGAAAACACCCATTATGTCCACGGTGTGGAAAGAATCATTCTGATGAATTTAGAGCGGGATCAGGAGTTTGTTTTCGTTGTGGAGACGCAGGTCATTATATCATAGATTGTCCAATGGCAGAAGAGAGATCTGTTCAAATAGAGAGATCAGTGGCAATGCCTTAGAGAGGTGGTCGAGGCAGAGGTAGAGGGAGGGGATATTCAGATACAACCTCTCAGTCTGATATTCGTGCTCCAACGAGAATTTACAACATCAAGACTAATGAGGATCGTGACGATCCAGAGATCATAGCAGGTACTTTCTATCTTTTTGATAAGCCTGCATTTGTTTTGATTGATCCAGGTTCTACGCATTCCTATGTTAGTTCGGAATTAGTTAAAAATAAGAATATTCCATTAGAACCCATCAATAGTGATATGATAGCTATAAATCCATTGGGTCATAGTGCTAGAGTCACGCAGATTAGTAGAAATTGTCCGATAAAGATTCAAAGGGTTATATTCCCGGCGAATCTTTTGGAGTTACCGTTTGATGAGTTTGAAATTATATTGGGCATGGATTGGTTATCTAGGCATTATGGTTGGGTAGATTGTCGCATGAAGTGATTATTTATAAAGGATGTAGAGAGTAACGAGATAATAGTAATTGGAGAAAAAACGAGATCTTTGCCTAATGTAATATCAGCAGTGACGGCAACGAAAATGATGGAAAAAGGTTGTACAACTTTCTTAGCAAATGTGATTGATACTCGAGCATCTGAAATTCGATTGGAGAATATTCCAACGGTATGATAATTTCCAGATGTATTTCCTGATGAATTACCTGGATTACCTCCTGATCGAGAAGTGGAGTTTAAAATTGATATTTTTCCGGGCACTGCACCTATTTCAATGGCTCCATACAGGATGGCTCCAACGCAACTCAGAGAATTAAAGGCACAATTATAGGAGCTATTAGATTGAGGTTTTATTAGACCGAGTGTATCTCCTTGGGGTGCACCAATACTTGTTGTTAAAAAGAAAGATGGCTCGATGCGATTATGTATAGATTATCGTAAACTGAATAAGGTGACGATGAAGAATAAATACCCTCTTCCAAGGATCGATGATCTGTTTGATCAGCTCAAGGGTGCTTCAGTATTTTTAAAAATTGATCTTCGATCAGGGTATCATCAGCTAAAGATAAAAGAGGAAGATATTCCAAAGACGGCTTTCAGAACTCGATATGGTCATTATGAGTTTGTTGTGATGCCGTTTGGACTAACCAATGCTCCAGCAGTATTTATGGATTTGATGAATCGAGTTTTTCAGTCATATTTGGATCAATTTATGGTTGTGTTCATTGATGATATTTTGGTGTATTCTAAGACTATGGAAGAGCACGACACACATCTCCGTATCATACTACAGACGTTGCGAGATAAAAAGTGATATGCTAAATTGTCAAAATGTGAATTTTGGCTGTCAGAGGTTGTCTTTCTGGGTCACGTGATTTCAGCAGAAGGAATCAGTGTAGATCCCAAGAAGGTGCAACCTATAGTGCAGTGGAAACCTCCACAAAATGTTTCGGAAGTCCAAAGTTTCTTGGGGTTAGCTGGTTATTATCGGAGATTTGTGAAGAATTTTTCAATAATTGCATCTCCACTTACCAAACTACTTCGAAAGGATGTAACATTCGTTTGGAATGAAAAGTGTCAAGAAAGTTTTGAGAAGCTTAAAGAGATTATGACTAAGGCACCGGTATTAGTACAGCCAGAGTCAGGAAAAGATTATGTAACATACAGTGATGCGTCCCATAATGGTTTGGGATGTGTTTTAATGCAAGAAGGTAAAGTGGTAGCCTATGCTTCAAGGCAATTAAAGACGCACGAACAAAATTATACGACACATGATTTGGAGCTAGCAGCTGTAGTGTTTGCTCTGAAGATATGGCGCCACTATTTATATGGTGAGCGATGCTATATTTATACAGATCATAAGAGTTTAAAATATTTTCACTCAGAAAGAGTTAAATCTAAGACAAAGGAGATGGGTTGAGCTTCTCAAAGACTATGATGTGATTATTGATTATCATCATGGGAAGGCTAATGTGGTAGCTGACGCACTTAGCCGAAAAACCTTTGCTGCTATGAGAGCGTTAGATGCACAACTATTAATGGAAGATGATGGTGCATTAATTGCAGAATTGAGATTGAGACCTACCCTATTGGATCGTATCAAGGATCTTCAGAATAAAGATAAGAAGTGTTTAGATAGAATGGAGCAAGCAAAGAAAGGAGAAATGGCATATTTTAAAATTAAGCCTGATGGATGTTTGTATTATCGGAATCAAATTTGCATACCTGATGACGAAGAACTGAAGAAATATCTTCTTTCTGAAGCTCATTATAGTCCTTTGACTATACATCCAGGAGGAAACAAAATGTATCAAGATTTAAAAAAGTCGGTATTGGTGGGCAAGTATGAAAAGAGCTATCACTGAGTTTGTTTCTAAATGTCTAACCTGTCAGCAGGTAAAAGTAGAACACCAAGTACCTTAGGGGTTGTTGCAACCTATCTCAATTCCTCGATGGAAATGGGAACGAGTTACCATGGATTTTGTGATAGGTTTACCTTTGACACCCAGTAAGAAAGATTTGATCTGGGTGATAGTGGATAGATTGACAAAGACATCACACTTTATCCCAGTTCGAGAAGATTATTCTATGAACAAGTATGCTGAGTTATATATTAGAAAAATAGTACGACTTCATGGAGTACCCATTTCGATAGTTTCCGATAAAGATTCGAGATTCAATTCGAGATTTTGGAAGTCTTTGCATGAGGCATTGGGAACCAAACTAAAATTTCAGCACATCTTATCATCCTCAGACAGATGGCCAATCTGAAAGAACTATTCAGATACTTGAAGACATGTTAAGGGCATGTGTTATTGATTTCAAAGGATCATGGGAAAAGTATTTGCCTTTAGCAGAGTTTGCTTATAATAATAATTATCAATCAAGTATCAAAATGGCTCCTTTTGAAGCATTGTATGGAAGAAAATGTCGAACGCCACTGAATTGGTACGAATTAAAGGATCGAGATGTAATTGGTCCAGATCTAATTAAGGAGGTGGAAGACAAAGTGAAAGTAATCCAAGATAATCTCAAAATAGCAGCAGATAGACAGAAAGCTTATGCTGATTTAAAAAGAAAAGAGATTGAATATCAAGTAGGTGATAAGGTATTTCTTAAGGTGTCACCTTGGAAAAAGATTTTAATATTTAGACGAAAAGGGAAATTGAGTTCAAGATTTATATGGTCATACGAGATTGTAAAGAGAGTTGGACCAGTAGCTTATCAGTTGGCGTTACCTCCTGAGATGAACAAGATTCATAATGTATTTCATGTATCGATGCTTCAAAGATATCGATCAGATCCTTCACATGTAGTTACATAAGAGAAAATTGAGATTCAACCAGATTTATCATACGAAGAGGAGCCAGTAAAGATTTTAGCACATGAAGTCAAAGAACTAAGAAATAAAACGATTACATTAGTAAAAGTTCTTTGGCAGAACCATAAAGTTGAGGAAGCAACTTGGGAACGAGAAGAAGACATGAAGAAAAAGTTTCCTCATCTATTTAATTCAGGTATGTAAATACATATGGAAAATTCGAGGACGAATTTTATTTAAGGGGGGAGGAATTGTAATACCCCAAATTTTGACCAGTGACTAAAATATAAGTTTTGAAAGGTAATGGCTAAAGTATAGAATTTGAAAAGTATAGAAACCGAAGTTGTAATTTTAAAAGTTATATAGTTTAGCCTGTAAATAAATAGTTTGGATTAAAACATATATTTTAGTGGAATTTTATAAAGCAGTAAAGTTTGATATTGAAATACAATATCCGGATCGAATCATAAGTTTATAAAAATCTCAAGGGAGGTATATTGGGGTTGGAAAAATTATAAGGATATTTTTAAATAGTGAGAATTTAAGTTGGATTTGTGGAATTTGGCGAGAATTGCACGATAAAGTGAGATAGTGCAATTTAGTGGTTAAAATGAAATTTTGGAAATTTGAGGGTCAAAAGTGAAAATTTAGAGATGATATTTGATGGCTATTTGGTAATATTAAATTAGAGATAATGGAGTGACATGTGTGTAATTTTTGGAAGTCATTAATGGCAATTTAGTCTTTTGACCCCAAATGAATAAAAAATTAGTTTTAAATTGTTTTTAAAGGCCCAAGTAGGAGATATTTTGTGAGAATTTTCGTGAAACTCCTCTTATCTCCTCCAACAAGCTGCCGAAACCATAGCCAAGGTGAGCCAATTTGTTTTCTTCCATTTTTGATCAAATTTAGTGAGTTTTTGGACTAAAGGATGAAATAAGAAAATAATCCCCATTAAATTCTCTACAAGTTGGTATAATTATTTCATTGTTTCATGGCTTAAATTATTAAAGTGGTGATTATGGTGGATGAAGGGAAAATTAGAATTAAATGAAATAAAGTTGAATTAAGATGTTAGGGGTGTTGTGGAGTTATAATTAAGCAAGAAGGTGGAATAAAAAAAATTATTATTGGAAGGATTTGTTTAGTAATTCGGCCAAGGAATTACATGAAGGAAATGGTGAAGTTGGAATTTTAAGTTTTGCTTTAGTGGCTTGCAGTTTAACATGAGCGCCATTTCATTTGTTTTGATATGTGCGTAAATGTGATATAGTGGTTTTACCATGAAATATGGTTTTTACATGAATAAAAAAATTCTTGATTCGGCCAAACAAGGAAAATTAAAAAAAATATTTAAAAATTTCATATGGTCTAGAAATGATATTAGAAGTATTCTATGTGATTTGGGAGTTCTTTTGGATCAATTTGGAAGCATAGATAAGAAGAAAAAAGAGCTAGTTTCCAAGTTTTGAGAATTTTGAGACTTTATTGCAAGAATGTAATTTTTGAAAGATTTAATACTGATTTTTGGTACTTGAGATGCTGAAATTTAATTTAGAAAGTTGATTTGAGTTAAATTGCAAAATTTTGGAATTTTTAGGTTGGAATTCGGAAAGCCTTGATAATGGTGGGACTTGGGTGTTAATTTTTAAAGAGGTAAAAGTACCATTTGGGTGAGTTAGAATAATTCTGGAAATTTTGGAATAATGTGCTGATTTTGGAGTTTAAGTTTTAAGTTGGGATTGAATTTCAAGTTTATCAAGTTGTAAGGTTGAAATTGAAAAGCCTAAGAAAGTTTAGGATGAAATTGTAAGCTTTTGAGTGTTGAATTATTGATTTGAACTTTTATTTTAGTTGCTGGAAATTTTATATATTTGATGGGAAATAATCATAATAGTGAAGAGCTATTATGAAATTAAAGGAAAAGTTGAGTTGAATTCTAGAAAGAATTTAAAATATGTGGTTAGATTTTATAATTCGTAAAAGTTGAAGAATCATGCTGAAAATAATTATTTATGGAATTGAATAAGTGTTTCGATAAGTTTGAAGTTATAATGGAGTTATGAGTTTGGTTGTTATCGATTTAGTTATCGATTTTATTATATAGATTTTCAAATGTTAAAACGAGCTTATATTAGTACGATACTAATATGTAGTTCGAACAATTTTTGTTTTATAATTTGGTATTGCCAGACTACGTTAAATCTAGCAATCCGAACGATTCGAAAGGAAAGGACAAAGCTCGTGACTATGATTATTATATACAAGTTCTGTAGTGAGGCAAATGTGAGTGCAATTTATTTATTTATTTATTTTTGATCGAGGACGACTTGCGATGAGTCAACCTCATTCAAATTTACAATATGATTTATAAAGTTTATAAAGAATATATTTTTATAATATTCTATATCAGTTTATGAATGATTTAGGGTATGAGCTGCCCAAACATGATATTTTTTATTATGGATTTAATTATTGTATATGAGCCCATTGCATGTATAATGAGAATTACTGGTACACTTGGCATGCCATTAGTTGAGTATTATCAACGTTATCATATCAGCTTTGGTACATTCATGTATCAATGTCCAGCACCGTTGGTGCTTATTCATGTTATGATGGCATTGAAGTGCATCATATCTCAATATCAGTTACGATTTGCACCGTGTTGTGCATAGTGTGCACCTTACTCACGTATCTTATGTTCTTATAAATATGCATTGGGCTATAAAAATGAATATGCAAGTTGTGAATGATTTTCAGTTAACAGAAAGCATGATGTGCTTATTTTATTAGATATGATTTATCAGAATTTTCATGAGTTCATGATTTAAAAAGAAATTTCAGGTCTTAGTGAAGAAATCGACTTGGATAAGTTGGTTTGTCAGTTTAATGTTTTAAATTGAATTATTTTATTTATGTTTATGATATTTTCAGATTTTACTCACTTTAGATTATTACTACCTGACTAAGTTATACTTAGCGCGTGATGATTTTCATGCGTAGGTTCTAATAAGGATAAGTACGATAAGTAAGGAGCTATCGAAACATCTTTCTGGAAAGACATACATATCATCAGTATCAGTAAGCCATCTATGATGTTTCTTTTGACTTATAGTGGCATGTATAATTATGTCAGTAGTTTCTAATTATCGTAGTTATTTTAAATAATTTGTAATAATAAACTAGAACTATTTAGTTTATTTTACTTAGTTTAGTTTTATCGGTATCTATGCATGACAAGAATTTATTACATTATTATGTTTTTAAAAGATTTTACAAAAAGACATGGTTTAGTAAAATTACTGAATAAATAATGAATTTATTTTCCTGTAATAAAGAAATAAATTATAAGTTGAAATATACTTTAAAATATATTTTTAAAGTTAGAACAAGAGTGTTTTCAAAAGAAACAAATTTTTACGAAAATTTTAGTTCAGTAAATGTTTTCAAGTTGATGTGACATCTTTGACTAGTATATTGAGACATATACGGGTTAAGGGTGTTATAGAGGCAAATGTGAGTGCAGTTTATTTATTTAATTATTTTGATCGATGATGACTTGCAATAAGTCAACCTCACCTTGTTTATTTTAAAGAAATGAATTATGTTTTGATTACGGAATTATATCCGTAATATTTTAATGAGTTTTATGAATGACTTTAGGTATGAACTGCCCATGTCATGTTTTACGAATGTAATTTAAATATATTTCTGATTCTGATATGATTTTTATCAAATGATTACGAAATGAACTGAAAGCCCATTGTATGTTATATTGAGAGTCAAAACTACAACTGACATGTCATGAGATGAAGTGATATTATTTCGATTCTGATATACTGTGGTGTACCAGAGTGTACACTTATATATATATTCCGATGTGATTGTACTTTGTGTGCATATTGTGATTTCCGATGTGATAGCATTGTGTGTGCTTATCTGTTCTGATTCTGATGATAACACTAAGATATGTATTTCACACACTCGTCTGACTCACGTACCTTATATTCTCTTAAATATACTTTGTGCTATAAAAATGAAATATAAAAGTTCTGAAAAGTGTCTTTCTATAAATGAATGCTGACTGATTATTCTATTTTATATTATTTATTATGATTTTGTAAAAATCATAATATAATTCTTTTCAGGTTTCTAAAAAAGAAACAACTTGAGATATATTGTTTGAGTATTCTGAAAATTCTGTTTGTTTTAATTTAAATAATTTTGTATATTTCAATATATTATTTATTTATTCTCACCTTTAGTGTTATTATCTCACTAAGTTATACTTAGCGCGTGATGACTTTCATGCTTAAGGTCTGATTGAGATACAAACTTTTTGTGAGGAGTCTCTCAAGCATCGTGTGGAGATCATTTATACTATCAGTATTAGTAAGACATCGTTGATGTTTATTTTGACTAGTAGTGGGATGTATAACTATGTTATTAGTCTGCTTTATCATTTATGACTAAATGGTTTGTAATAGTAAATTATAGCTGTTTAATTTAACTAGTTCAAGTTACCGGTATTTGATATACATAAAATATATACATAGATAATATTGTGTTTTTAAATCGTACGAAAGTCCAAAGTAGATATAAATAGTTTTTAAAAGTTGCAAATAGGCATTGTTTTTTTAAAAAGAAATAAAATTGAGAAAATAACCTCAGTGACCAAAAATCTTAGATAATATACGATTTTGACCAACTTTTTTTGGATTTGCGAAAATGACCAACAAAATCGCAATGCGATCTCTAATTCGCATTGCGATCTCCACTATCGCAAATTCACGTTGCATTTCGCATTGCGATAGTTGAAAATCGCGTTGCGTTTTTCCATTTCGCGTTGCGATAGTTGGAGATCGCGTTGCGATTTTCCATTTCGCGTTGCGATAGTTGAAATCGCAACGCGATCTCCATCATCGCAAATTCGTGTTGCATTTCGCGTTGCGATAGTTGAAAATCGCGTTGCGATTTTCCATTTCGCGTTGCGATAGTCTACAGTCGCGTTGCGATTTTCCATTTCGCGTTGCGATAGTTGAAAATCGCGTTGCGATTTTCCATTTTGCGTTGCGATAGTCTACAGTCGCGTTGCGATTTTCCGTTTCGCGTTGCGATAGTCTACAGTTGTCGTTGCGATTTTCCGTTTCGCAACGCCAAATGGAAAATCGCAACGCGACTGTAGACTATCGCAACGCGAAATGGAAAATCGCAAAGCGATTTTCAACTATCGCAACGCGAAATGGAAAATCGCAACGTGATTTTCAACTATCGCAACGCGAAATGCAACGCGAATTTGCGATAGTGGAGATCGCAATGCGAATTAGAGATCGCATTGCGATTTTGTTGGTCATTTTCGCAAATCCAAAAAAAGTTGGTCAAAATCGTATATTATCTGAGATTTTTGGTCACTGAAGTTATTTTCTCAATAAAATTTTAAGCAATTGCCAATAATGAACATTTGTGACTTTAATTTTAATGTGACATATATGACTCGTATTCTTCGATGTTTACGGGTCTGAGTGTTACATAACTACCACGTGAACAGCCATGAAAGCAAGGACAAGTATGGTGGAAATATCTTTTTAAATAAAATTTCAGAAACAAATATTTAAATAATTACTAAATAGTTACTACTAAACACACTATAAGTATTCAGTAAACTAATAAATAAATATGCATTTTTGATACAATATTTAAAATATCCAATAATATATTTTTATTGAAATGTTTACACAAATTACGTGAACATCATGAATTCATAACTTTTATTTGCTTTATACTAATATATTTTTCACAACATGCATTGGATTTGAATGAGTTTGAACAAACTGTTCAACGATGAAAAATCATTCATCTGAAATACACCAAAATAAAGATCAAATCCAGAAATTAAGAACATTTGAAAGTGAAAGGTGTTTGATGAAATTAATTACTAGTAACTTGACCAGAACCGTGGCTAACCATTGCAAGCAACGCTTTCTTTACGTTCATCATCGACTGACATCCTTTAAACCCATTCAGATTCTTTGGTTTAACCCCAAAACACAATATCCAAGTTGGTGATCCAAGCCCTTCACCGTCACCATCATCATCTTCATCCATGCAGTTATGAACCGGCGACCTCGAGCATGAAAAATAGCTGATCCGCCAATGAAACAATTTACGGTTCGTTGAAGAACCATGATCATGCAACGATGACCGTGACGATGAAGATGATGTAGAGGAGCGTGAAGGAGAAGGGGAAGCCTTGGTTTTCCTGGGAAAGATGGAGCTCAAAAGTGTGGATTTGAAGCCCTTTTTGTGGTTATATTTTGAGTCGAAAGAGGAATAGTATGAAGGCGGTGGAGTGAGAGGATGAAGGGCAGCGTCGGAGGAAGGGTGTTTGGGGGTTCCGGGATGAGATTCCCACGTGAAGGGAACGGCACCGGAAGCTCCGCCGTAGTAGACCCTGCAAGAAGAGTTGACCGTTGAAGTTTCTTTGGACATGAGCCTGCTGAAGAACTTGTCAGCCTGCTTGATTTGCAGACCTTTCTGATGAAGCTCGTCGCTCAACATTTTTTTATCTCGGCAACCGATGTGGGTGCCTTCAGTTGTCAGCTAAGCTTAGTAGATCTGTAGTTTCTAAATAAGGCTCAATATCCCAAGTTGAAACCTGATAAATGACTTCTTTAAGTCTATTCTGGTGGTATATAATTAACCTCTACAGAAGTTTTTTTTCTTTTATGTTATCCCTCCCGAATACCAACCTAGGAGAGAATTTATAAAATTTTAAGGATTAAAAACATAATTTTAATAAAAATATCTAAAATATATATGAATTTAAATATTTTAGGACTGTCACGTGTCACCCCACCTGTCTTCTCTAGATCTATCTTTGACCCCTCTCAATAATGATATTATTTTTAACCTAAGTTATATTCTTAAAACAATGCCAATTATATAATAGGCTTAATATCACTTTTCCTCCTTGTATTTAGGTAAATTCTACCTTACTATTTTTCTTTTTAAGTTTGTTTCACTACTATTTCGTTTAACACTGTACCCCTTTACTATTATAGTTAGAAAAGTCGTGTGACAGTTAGAATATGCAAATTGTAATAAAGTTTTAGGGGGGGAAATACAATTTCTGAAAAAAAATAAAAATTGTAACGATTTTTAATTAATTAGCTTTAAAATTTAAAAATTCATATCACTATTAAAAATGTAAAATATCATTAAAATTGAAAACCCTAAAAAACAACTAAAAATTATTTTCCAAATTTTTTTTTAATATTTTAAGATGTTTTACATTTTAAAGATTTTATTTGAGTTTTTAGTCATTTCTCCAAAAACTATCGAAGTGTAAAAACTAGTCGCTAGAGAATATAATAATAGCATACAATGAAGAACTAAAAAACCTAACCAAACAACTTAAAAAATATAGATATAAAATAACACCACTATTGATTATGAAAGATAAACACCACAAACATTAGCAATATATATATATATATATATATAACAATAACAATGTGTTGACAAACTTACTTTATCACATCTCAATCATAAATTATTTGATAATTGTTAACATTTTTCAATGGAAGAGAGTCAATTCGTGGTTTCAAACTAGGGATAAATCATTAAGAATCTTTAACATACGATCCACATTTAACATACGTTTATATGTAACTCGGCCCGAATTCAAGTAATATAAATGCAGTTTCATAAAAATGACGAAACTTGTGAGAGGAACAGGTATGGTGGATAGAGAGGGTAGGGGACATTTAATAGGGTAGCTCTAACTTACTAATAATGTTCTTCTTCTTTTTTTTGGGCGGGGGGGGGGGGGAAGAATCTAGATCATTGATGAGGCTGATTATGTGGGTTAATATGGACCTCCAATTGTACATTTAGTGATGAAAAACAGTTGAGCAGTGAGGATATTTTGGTCACAGGCTAGCAAAATGAATGAGAGCTTATCGTGGTCCATGATCTAATCGAAAGCTGCCTTTTTAGACAGATATAGATTGCTTTAGAAAATGGTTTAACCTTCCAAATCAACGAGGTTTATTCGAGATTTATTGATTGACCGAATGATTTGATATTCATGTTATTTTATTTTGTGTAAGTGTAAATTTTGATATTTATTTTAGAAAATATCTCTCTACTTAAATTAAACAAAATGATTTATTTAAATACAATATATTATTATCCTCTAATAAAAAGGAGGTGAATAAGCTTTTTGAAAGGTAATACAACGTATTTAAATGTAATTAGCATAGCCATTAAGGTTAATAAATGGACCCCCTGATTTTGGCACTACAATTTGCCCACCAGAATTTAGGCTGAGTAATAAACAGATACACCAATTTGTATTCATATTTTGTTTTTATATTTTACATGTTTTCGTCCTATCTAAGGTATCATACAATTTAATAGAATATTATATCACGGTTCATCTATGTATATAATAATTTTATTAATTTCTCTAAAAATAAACTTTGTAGCACATGAATCAATCGAGTTTAGTTTTGAGAGGTTTTAATGTTGGCATAATGTATAGAAAATTATATGATTAAATATATTTAAATATTTAGTATTTTTTTATTTAAAGATGAAAAAATATTCAGATAAATCAGAAATTGTTTAAAAAAATTGCTGAACATGCGATTTAAGAGCGATAAACACAGTCGAAACTTAACTTTGAAAAGGGAATGAGATTTGAAGATTTATTGGGCTGAATTATTCTCATTTCTGTCTATTTATTTGTAAATTTTCCTGTCTATGTGTCTCATATACTATATAAATTCGCATAATGATGGAAATATTTCTTCTTATGAGATATCTTTTTCTATTTTTTTTATTAAACTAAGGTAATTACAAAGTAATATCTATTCTAAATACTCTCAATCATTTGATATTGAACGCTCAATCACCCTGTTGCAGTCGCTGGTGCAACACGTATAACCGAACAATAATTACTTGGCATATCAAGTTAAAAAAACAAAAGACAAATGAAATTATAGCACATCACTATTATTCATTGGAATTTAGGGCTTTTTATCGGAATCAAAACTAGTAGTTGCTACTTATCCACCATTAAACTGTACATATATAACACTAAAAGAATGATTAAGCGTGTAAGAAAAGACAAGTCAATAATTAGCTTCCGTAATTCTCTTTGCGCGTTGTTGTTTTTACTATAAAAGAACAATTTTAAGTTGTTTTCCTTTATGGAAGTTCTCATATATATAACGTAACAGAATTTTGAATAATTCGTTCATATCTCTCATTCCTTAGCTTGAGGCACCAAAAAGGGTTGGATCATTTTCGTCTTATTAGTCCCGCTGATAGGGAGAGTGGAATTGTGATTGATGCAAACATTTTTCTCTCTTTAATTTAGATAAAGAGTCGTACTCGATAATTTAATGGATTGAAAGAATGATAAATTGTAGAGAGGATGACCTCAAAAGAGACATTGAGGGAAAGAGAGAGAGAGTTCAGAATTAAAGTACATTCCCCATTCTCTAATCATGCGTGTTAGCTTTTATACTGATCATTAATGTTAGTGTCAAGTCTAGAGTTATGATTACTATTCATAAGCTGATAGGGCAAATGGATATGATCGTCTGACAATAGATGACTCTGACAAATCATATAAACCTGCTAGATGTTATGTTAAAAGAATACAGTCAGAATTAAAGAATGATGAATTGTAGAGAGGATGAGCTCAAAAGAGGAATTGAGGGAGAGAGAGAGAGTTCAAAATTGAAGTACAATCCCCCTTTTCTAATTATGTGTGTTAACTTTTATACTAATCCTTAACGTTAGTGTCAAGTCTAGAGTTATGATTACTATTCGTAAGCTGATAGGACAAATGGATATGGTCGTCTGACAATAGATGACTTTGACAATTGATAGAATGTGTAAATTTTGGAGACTAGAATTGTAATTATAACATGACACAACAGTATCTCTGTTAAATCAGTGGTCAAACTTAATGATGGGATGTCAAAATAAAAATAAAATGTAATACTATTAGGTATATTTATAAAAAAATAATTAAGTGGTCAAAATAAAAATGTGAGGATAGGAGGATAAAATAAGTTAATTATTTGTATGGGTTAAAATGTTTAGGTAGTCTCTGCACTATAGTAAAAAATGCAATTGAATCCTCGTACTTTAAAACTAAGTGAATTTGTGCGTGTTCGTTTGATATTACTACAAAGAAGACAGACTTAGTGAAAAACCATGTAAATACTCACATGGGGTTTTGAAATCTGACCAAGTATATGGGTTTGAATATTACAAAACATATGTTGTTTTTTGTTGTTTTAGTTTTGTCTATAGGTTTGTATTGTCGGATTTTAGGAGTACCATATTATCAAGTATATGCTGCTGGACCGAGAGGGTGCAGGGGTGCGATCACACCCCTTAGAATTTTCAAATTTCCTTATATATTAGATTCTTTTATATATTTTTATTAATTATCTAATTTCGCACTCCTAAAATTTTTAATATAACTTCTTAAATTCGCACCCTTTATATAAATTTCTACGTCGGTCCTGTATGTCAAGTTGGGTTACATTAAGAAATCATGAACATCTGCCTCCTCCGTACCTTGACAAAGTAATTCTACAATATAAACTAGCAAAATTATTTCGAAAGTAAAGAGTGTTGACTAAATGGAATAGCATCCTTTCATGGAGCTGGCTCTTTACTATCAATTTAGTCTATGATTCCATGCAATAGGATCGTTCTTCTTTTCTAAGAATTGACAATAAGTAGCAGGTCATGTAGCCTATTTGTTGAAATATATAAAGGGGCAGCAGGAGGACTTTTACAACATCCTTTATTAGACTTTGTAAATTAAAAATTTTCAAAGGGAAAAACATTAAACATTCTCGATATGAAGTTTGTGAATACTGAACAGATACATTGGTTGAAAGAACAAATTTGCTTTCTTCCTGTATTCTATCAGAGATAACCTTAAACCACTCGAAATCTATGTAATAAAATATTCATATAAAATACAGTCCCTGACAGAAGTTGTTTAATCAAACATCGGTTTAGAAAGAGGAAACTGATATTGACGTTTTACGACAAACGGCATTCGGATTTAATTAGCGTTTACTGGCTAGCTAGGATTGTGAAAATACAACAAGAGACGCATATACAGAAACGGCAATCGCATCAGGGATGATTCACCTTTTTGTTCTTTGTTTTCTGCATGTAATTACTATAATTTAGAAACGATGATCAGAAGAACAATGGGTTTTGAAATGTTGATCACTCGTACCTGTGTATATACACAGTTGTAAACAACAGTGAATTTGTTAATAGTTGTGAACAATGGGATTTCAGTTCTTGATCCATGTGGATGTGGAGGCTTCATCATGTGGAAAACTAGGTTTTTTTCATCCCATCAACGTCGTGTTGGTGAGCTGTGCAAAACTGCAACACTCCTTTATTCATGGTGGGATGTAGCTGCGCTGAATTTTAAGTGGAAAGGTGAGAGAGAAAAAAGAATGGAGAAGAAGATAACTTTTTCCTTAGATGTTAGACAAAGGTTTTGGGGGTCAAACGTATGACAAAATGGTGCCAGCTCATCAGTTT